TCTGCCCACTGCACCTCAATCTCCCGGGGGCCTTACCTGCTCTGCCTCCTCCCAACCTTGTCTGCCCTTCAGGGGCCCCAAAGGGCAGGCAGAGCATAGCTGGAGGGCTTCCCGAAGATGCATCCATTTGGTGAGAAAACTTCACACCTTGGAGTTGGGGGGTCAGCCTCTTTCTCCTTATAGGCTGGCTGTCATGGAACCTGGGGATGGGGTCATGCAATGTAGCCCTGACTGGCTCCCTTGGAGCACCTGATATGAGGGGTGCTGTTCCCACCTCTGTCCCCCATGTTGATGCCCTTCTGCTCCTCCCCAGGAAGCCTGAGGACCAGGAGCAGCAGATGTGTGCTCACTGCCTCCCTGATCCCTTAACTAAATGTTCTCCTCCTGCCTGGGCCAATAGACAGGTGTGTCCCTGGGACCCAGTAACAAAGACATGGTTGGGAGGTGGCCCCTCCCTGCTCTGGGACTGACCCTCCCTAGCTGGCTGCCCTGAGGAGTGACTCCAAGGGCCACCCCAGTCACACTCCTCTGGCCCCTGGGGCTCCCACTGTCTCTTACACAAGCTCTATTCTGAAGCCCTACAGTGTGGGAACACCATTGGCAAGGCTGCCCTGGGGCCACCACACTGTCCTCTCAAGCCTCCTGACCTGGTGGGAGGTCATCTTACTCCGGTGAGAAGATGCCCTGTGGCTTTTCACCTGTGTGTTTGCTGTTGTTTTTCCAAATTCGTCCAGTTCTCCCTGTCAAAGCAAACTCCTTAATACCTTTGGTGAAGTATTTACTACCTGGATGTGGGCCTCTGGAGAATGCACTGTGCTTGTGTGTTTGAGTGGGTGTGCATGGGTGTGCATGTGTGCGTGCGTGTGTGGATCTAGGGCCAGCATGGTGGCCTGGGAGAGCTGGGGGAATGGATGGCCATATGTATGGGTTCCGTGTAGCCCAGCTCTCCCAGCATCCACCGAGCCTGAGCACTGTTGGACGTCAGGAAAGCGCCTCGCCCATTTGCCCTTTCTCCACCCTGGAACTCGTGTCTCCCAGGCCCTCTCTTGGGGGAAGTAACACAATTCCACTTAGCCCCATAAAGTGCTTCTCACCCCACAGCACAGTTCTGATTGTTGAGGTGTCCTGCTATGCCAGACCCCTGGCCCCATCCTCCTCCCCTCCCCTTTCTGGTCCCCGGGACCCCTTCCTCTGGTCCCCTGGTCAGTCACATCCATCCTCTGCTCTCCAGAGGCAGCTGCTCCTCTGACTACTCGGAGCTACTTGAAATTTCCTGCTCTCGCTGGGACGCCCCAGTGGGATTTGTGAAACTGTCCCAAGGGCAGCCATGAAAGATACCAGGCGCCTGGGATGGGGAAGGGGTTCTTCCTCCTCTCACTGTCGCTGTCCCCTTCCGGGAGGCTGTGCTGTCTGTCTCTGGGTCTTCTGGTTGTGCACGTTTATCTGACCTTGTAAATATGTTTTAGGAAGAAAGCAAAAGGCACTGAACTCACCCCCGCTGGGCCTGCAGGGATCCAGGCTTGCCCTGTCTCTGAAGCTCCCACTGCTTTGTACCCCACTAAGGCAACCCCCCTCCAAAGGCAGATGGAAGCAGCTGCTCCCCAGGCTGAAGGCCTCACTGGGCAAGCTTAAGTTTCTCATGGCAAGAATGCAGGTCCCCTGCCCCTGCCCCCACCACCCCTATGGATTCGTGCCCTTGAGCCAGCTGCTATCTCGGCTTCTGCCAGCCTCTCTACACAGATGTCCTTGCCCCCTCCTGCCCTCCTTTCCTGGGCTTAGGCAGGCAGGGCACATGGAGCAGAACTGAAAAGAGCTCAACCAAATTGTAAGAGAACTGTGACTCTCCTGGCCCCAGGCCTCCTTGGTGCATGGATGCTGGAAAAATGGGGTGGGTTGAGATTGGAGAAAATTAATGTGCCTTGAGCGACCACTAAGAGGGTCTGGAGATGATGGAGAAGGTGTGGTGGGGGAGCGCAGGAAGCAAGCCAAACTACAAGTGGGAGCTGGGACATGTTGACTGTCCCCTAGTGTCCTGGGGGGCTCGTGACCACACTCGGTGGCGGCCACGCTTCCTTCTGGTTCCAGCCTGCCTGATTTACTGTAGCGCAAATCACCCACTTACCCTTTCGTGAGCTCTGTCTGCTTCCAGCTTCACCTCAGGGTGGGTGGGGTCCATTGATATCAACACCAGAACCCTCCATTTCACCAAAGCCTGAGCCCTCAGCCCCTGGGGAGGACAACTGGCCAGTCACTAATGCCCCAGGGTCACCTTGGGGCTGTGGGCTGGTGGAGTCCCAGAGAAGAGACACTGGGGGAGCAAGAGGAGCCTGGAGACAACCCAGGAAGTCCCCAGCAGAGCCAACTGCTTTATCGCCTGCAGCCTATCCAACCGTGTGATGTGCAATAACTGAGCTTAGAGTTAAGAATTGTGTTCAAGTGCTTGGGTTTCTGTCTGTAGATTTAAGTGCTGAAATCGTACTGCTCAGTAACTTTAGATGTCTTTTTAAAAAATCAAGAAACCAAGTGTTAGACCTGTGTGTGCATTGATGGGCACTCAAGCGTCCCTCGATCACCCCACCCTCTCCTTCCTCTGCACCCCACACCCTCATGCCCCTCCTTCCCAGCCCCCCGCCTCCACTTGGGGACCCCGTCTTGTGTCGTCTTTATCTGCCTATTAGCCAGCCTAAGGAAACAAGTACACTCAACACATGCATAAAGGATATCAAATGTTATTTTTAAGAAAATGGAAAATAAAAACTTTATAGACCACCTGCTGGCAATGTTCTGATTACCCTTCTTCTTGATGTTTTCACAAAAACAGCATCCACTAGTGACACTCTGCAGTCTCACCTGGCTTCTCCTAGTCACTGTTACACAGGAGATTGCAGGGCTGAGGAGGGTATCCAGGGAGCACTTGGAGTGACTGAAATATTTTGATGTTATTGCAAATTATATGCAAGCCATATTGGTACATAGAGGGCCACCACGTACATCTCTAACCCACAGCAGAGATGAAACTATGTTGTTCTTTCTCCAGGACCTTTTCTTCCTGTTATTACATGTATTTGAAGACTTGATTTTATAGGAATGTAGTAGCCCACATTATAAACTTAGCCAGCCCTTTGGGGCCTGCCAGAAAGTTCAGCAGATTAAAGCACCTGCTTAGGTAAAGCACAGCTGCCAGGGTTCAATCCCTGGCACTGCAAGCTTTGCCCACCCCCATTCCGGGGAGC